GGATCTCTCACGGTCACCACGAAGCTGGAGTCGCCTCCAGGGACTCCCCGGACAGCCCTGGAGACCTCCAGGAGACCCTCCAGAGCGCATCCGAGAAGCTCAAAACTTGTAATATCCCGAAGGAAATGTATGATTTTGGCATTCTCGCCTTTCCCCCTCCACTGGGCTGCTCACGCCTTTAAATCGCCCCCGAGAGGCCACTAGGAGGCCCAGAGACGCGTTAAAAAAGGTCCGAAGAAGCCCCCAAAAACCCCAAGAAGCCCCCAAGAGGTCCCCTGGGACGCCCGACTAGGCTTCCAAGAGGCCCCCAAAAGGCCCCCAGGAGGCCTCACAAACGTCCCCCGAGACCTCCACGAACACCCACTAGGTTTCCAGGACGCCCCCAATAGTCCCCAAGAGGGCACAAGTGACCCCAAGAGGTCCGAAAAGGCCCCGAGGGACGCTCAGAACAGCCCTGGAGACCTCCAGGAGCCCCCTCTGACCGCCTCAGACAGTTTCAAAACCTTCCAACTTCTTGACGCTTCGCGTATCCCCACCAGGACTTGTTCGTATCCGAACTGCTGGGAACGCCTCACGCGCCATTTTGGTGCCTGTCTTCAGACTCCCTGGATGCGCCCTTGCATGTCTCGTTCAGGGGCTGTTCTGCAGACTCCCTGGATTGCACGCTGGCTCTGACGCCCTGGGACGCTGCTGCCTGCCGCCTGACCGCGGCCTCGCGCGCGCCCGCCGTTTGTCGCGGCCGCAGCCCGCCCGCGACCGCCCGCCGCTGGCGCTTCCGCCTGCGGCTGTAAAAAAAAATCCCCACCAGGTCCGCAGCCTGGCTCAAGCCCTTTGGCTCAAGCCGCTCTGGCTCGAGGTGCCGAGCCGGCTTGCCAGGCCGCGGCCGGGGGCCTGCCCCTGGCCCTCGGCCCCGCCATGGTGTCGCCGTCGGCGCGGCGGCGGCGGCAGCGGCGCGAGGCTGCCTGCCGCGCCGCCGCCGCTGCCGCCCCGGCTCGCCTGCGGCCCGCCGGCCTGCCGCTTGCGGCGGCCCCCCTGGCCTGCCTGCTCCGGCTGGCGCCGCCGGCGCTGCCGCCCCCGCGGCTGCCGGCGACGGCGCCGCCGCCGCGGCCGCCGCGCGGCCGCGGGCGCGCGCGCCGCCGCCGCGGCCGCTGACGCCGCTGCCGCTTGCGCGGCCGCGGCCACGGCGGCCTCTGCGGCCGCCCTGGCTGCCGGCCCGGGCGGCGCTGGAGCCGCTGGCGCCGCGGGCGCCGCTGGCGCCGCTGGGGTGCTGCGCCTCCTGCGCCGCGCGCGCCGCTGGCGCCCCCGCCGCTGGGGCGCCGCTGGCGCCGCGAGCGCCGCGGGCGCGCGGGCACCGCTGGAACCGCCGGCGCCGCGGGCGCCGCAGCGCCGCCGCGCTCCGCAGCTAGCGGCGCCGCGGCTGCTGGCGCCGGCTGGAGCTGCTGGGCGGCGCGGCCGGTGCCCGCCGCGGCTGCGGCCGCCGCTGCTGCCCCCCCCACCGCTGCGGCCGCAGCTCCCCCTCAGGCGGCCGCGGCGGCCGCCTGCTGCGCCGCCGCCGCCGCCGGCGAGGCCGCCGCCGCCGCTGGCCTCTGGGAGGCCGTGGCGGCCCTGGCCCGTGCCGCCGGCCTCGCCGCCGGGGCGGCCGGCTGCGGCGCCGTGGCCGCGGCGGCCGTCGCCGCGGCCCTTGGCGAGCAGCCGCAGCAGCCGGGCAGCGGCAGCAGCTGCAGCAGGGCTGCAGCAGCCGCAGCAGCCGCAGCAGCAAGTCAGCAGCAGCAGCCGCAGCAGCAGGGCAGCCGCAGCAGCAGCAACAGCCGCAGCAGCAGCCGCAGGAGCAGCGCCCCAACGGCGGATGTGGATGCAGCCGTTTGCTGCCAACCTGGATTGTCCCTTGTGGATGGCGGCGAAGGAGTCCCCGCCGGGCGCACACCTGGCGGTCTCCTGGCTCCTGGACTCAGAGATGGGGTCGAGAGCTCCAGGGTCCTGGGTGTTGGGATGGGGTCGAGAGCTCAGGGACTCGATGACACTTCGGTTGTGGGCCCTGGGAGATACGACGGCGCGTGCTTCCCTGGATTTTCTTCCACCGCCGGTGCAGCCGTTAGCTGCCAACCTGGAGTCACTTCAGACGACGGCACGTCCTTCCCTGCAGTTTCTTCCATTGCCGGTGCAGCCGTTAGCTGCCGCGCGCCTGGCAGGCTCAGGGGTCCTGGACGCGGCGATGGGGTCGAGAGCTCTGGGGTCCAGGGCGTTGGGATGGGGTCGAGAGCTCAGTGGTCCAGGGACGTTGCGGACGTGCATCCTGGAAGGGGCGGCGTTTCGTGCATCAGACAGGCAGACAGGCGTTCCTACAGCTCCTCTTTCCTATCAGCGCCAAGCGGTTGGGGTTCAACCTGTGGCGGCGCGAGCTCATGCTATCACATTGCCAGTTGCCGGGGCCGTCGGCCACCACCTCATACCCCATTGCCCCCCCCATGGCAACAGTATTGTGGCGACAGGTGGGAGTGCG